AGTATAGGTCTTGGTCCTGGTGTCGTAGGATCGGCAGCTCGGCGTTCATGGCGTTGATCTTCTTGTTGACTTCGCGGTTCTCGAGACCGGGGACAGCTGTAGTCTTCGCGTACTGGTGCCCTAGAGGAAGGAGAGGAACCTTCAGCCCAATCATAGCTCCAATCTCTACGCCCCAGAAGCCAGCACACGATACAACTATATCCGCGGGTACAGAACCGTTGTTGGTCGTCACACCGGTGACACGGCCGTCCGCTTGTTCGATTCCGGTAACGACGGTGTGCTCGAGGTACTTGACGCCGGCGTTGCGCGTGTTTTCGATGAGGATCTGTGTCGCACGAGCTGCTAGCGCTAGGCCATCGCTTGGAATGTGAAGACCACCTAGCACCATGTCCTTGTTAAGGAGAGGGTACCTCTCGAGACATTCATCGGGACTGATCAAGTTTGCCTCGATACCCCATGATTGCGCATATCCGTGTTTGCGCTTGAGCTCCTCCAGTCGTTCTGGAGTCGTCGCAACTTCCAAGCCACCCAATTGGTTGAAGCAGTTTTGTCCGTCTTTCTCGAGCGCTTGCAGCTTCTCGACTGTGTACTTCGCGAGTAAGGTCATCGTTTTGGAGGGATTGGTCTGGAAGACTAGACCGGGCGCATGCGATGTTGAGCCACCGGGCATGCTCAATGGACCCTGCTCAACGACGGTGATGTTGTTCCATCCTCGAGAAACCAGCTCGTCCGCGAGGTTAGTGCCGACAACGCCGGCGCCGATAATGACAACGCGCTGGGAGGTCGCCATTGCAAAAGAGTTGAAAAGTATGGAATTGGACAGATGGTTTCCAAGGCTGTAGGACGAACTCCTCTTAAAGCTGCTTGCACTCGCGATAACGGACCATTTCACCACGCTCTGCCATCATAGGAGCCGAAACTAAGCGCAGCGCAAACTTCAATTGGCAAAATAATTCCCATGGAGTGGCCAACGGCAGCGTGATGCACGGAAGCAGCCCACCGCCCCGCATGCGATACTTACGACATTGGTGGGGAAGATGCCAGTCGTGGATGTAGGGTCCTGATGTCCATTTTGGGATTAGTGATTATGGTGCGGACGCATGGAGGCGAATCGTCTCGGGACTACAATAGCCTGCAACAACCCCGCCTCGCGTGTGCGCAACACCATCCCGTCTTTCTCACGATCTTTACTCCAACTCAAAATTCGTCTCGTCTGATATCAGACCTGGATTCCAGGTAAGTATGCATAGTATGGAGAGCTTAGCATGCTTTTCCCGTCAATCGAACCTAATGCGGCTGTCGTGCCGCAAAGATTCACCGATCTTGCTCGCTACAATATATCATTGTAACAAGGATAAGCGTTGCTTCAACATTGAGGGTGACTTTCCGCCATCAAACCTTGCGCCAACCCATCGCGACCCACAAAGCCGGTGTGAAAGACACTAGGCCTTGAAAGCGTGGCAACAAAAGCCATGCGACAACAACCCTCCCGGACCCAGCCTCGATCCCACGGGGCTTCTGGAGAGCACAAACCCCTTTTAATCGGCAACTGCACAGCACCACGTGCAGAAAGGCTGACCCATCTGGACCATGATGCCGACCCGTGTGGTGTCACCCACATCGCATGCCCTCGATCACTGAGTCGCGCCCTGAGCAGTCTTCGCAATGGACTCACCTTGAAGTTGTCTCTGGTTGCGTTCATCGATGAGTCGATGCTGCGAGACAAACGACAGCTTATATCGCCAAATTACCCCAGACGCCTACAGTGTTAGGGCAGGCCCAACGTAACACCTTGCTGCGCTGTCAGCACCAGCCGGCAAATTCACGACTGCGATTGCCAAAAGCACCCAAACCCTCCCGATTACTCTCCATATCGTCAGGAGGGGTAGTGACACGCGAGCTGCTGCGGCAACCATCCACGAACAAGGGCGTTTCCATCGAGACCAGTGACGCTTTGCTGTCGTATGCGTTGCGCGACTCGTGTGGCGTCATTCGCACTCAATGACAACGCGCTCAACGGTGCGTGTGCTCCGACGTTCGCTCTATACCCTCGATCAGAGTATCATGGGCTATAGTCCAGCAGACGTTATCAGCTGCGGTACTACATCCAAGCCCGACAGCTCATCAAGATAGCATCGCTATCTCGATATCTCGACGATAAAAGCTGCGATCAACATCTTCAGTGAAGATTTTCGATAAGAGCGCGATAGCACTTGGATAATGCGACCGTAATAGTCCCGCCAGAACTTGGTGGTCGCAGTCTGATCGCGCCTTGGGCTGGCGTCCGTTGTCCGCATTTGGAAATCAGATCCATTCAAGTCCGTGCCAACATGAGGGGCAATGACGAGAACGGTCTATACGTTCAGTCACCATGATTTTCTCCTGCATTGTATGCACAGTCAATGAAACTACTCTGGGGTAATACGACGCTGCCCAGTCATATGACGCCGTTGAGCTCTAGCACAGCATTCTAGAATGTTGAAATGATCACGATGGCAGAACGTGCGGTAACGGAGAGACGTCAAAAATAGTCAGGTTGTGTGGCGCTTGACGGTCACCTGCAGCCGAATTACGTTCCCACGTCCCACTGGTTATCGCTCCTCGGGCGCGAATGGAAGCCATAACCCCATGGGGACTTAGTTGTTTGTCTTACTTGATAAGAGTGAGGAGTTAAGAACCTCGAGAAGAGGGTATAATAACGCCTGCGACATCCTCAACCTGACGTCCATCATCTCTATCAGACCTTCCCAACACACAATCGTGGTCGCTTCCAATTATCTTTAGCACGCCACTATCCTACAACAAGCATAACATCACATTTCAACACACATTCTTCACAATGGTCGGGTCACTCCTGAGCTACCTTGGCTTTGGCGGCTCAGCCGCCGCCCAGGCTCCACCAGAGAACCAGCCCGTACGGGCCCTCCCCGCCAACTGGTATACCTCTGAAGAGATGTACCAACTCGAGCGACGCGCTATCTTCACCCGAAGGTGGCTCATTCTTACCCACAAGTCGCGACTCGCCAACCCTGGCGACTTCCTTCGCTACAACGTCGCCAACTACGACATCGTCGTCTCCAAGGACCGTTCCGGCGAGATCAACGCTTTCCACAACGTATGCAGACACCGCGCGTATCCCGTAGTCGAGAAGGATGGTGGCAATGCCAAGATCTTCTCCTGCAAGTACCACGGCTGGTCGTATGGCCTCAACGGCAAGCTTGCGAAGGCGCCGGGATACCAAGAGCTCCAGAACTTCGAGAAGGCCAAGAACGGTCTCTTCCCCATTCACACACGCATCGACCGCAACGGCTTTGTCTGGATCAACATGGATGCGAAGAAGGAGCCCGAGGTATCATGGGAGTCACAGTTCGACCACGTCGACGAACAGGCGCGCTTCGGTCAGTTCAACTTTGACGACTACGAGTTTGACCACACCTGGAACCTCGACGGTCCATTCAACTGGAAGATTCTCGCCGACAACTTCAACGAGTGCTACCACTGCAAGAGCACACACCCCGATCTCACAACAGGTTTGATCGACCTCGAGAGCTACGACGTCTACTGCTCGGCCGACCACATCCAGCACGACCCCAAGACCCCTCAAGACCGCAAGGACCTCGGCCAAGAAATCTGCTCCACGTACTGCTTCCCCAACGCCTCCTTCACCGTCACAAAACACTTCCTCTTCATGCAGAAGTTCATGCCCAAGTCACCTACCGAGTCAGTCATGTACTACGAGGTCTGGCGCAACAAGCACTCGAACGACGAGGACTTCAACCTTATTAGCGACACCTACAAGCGCGTCATGGGCGAGGACAAGGTTCTATGTGAGCGTGCGCAGAAGAACATCGAGGCTGGCATCTTTGTCAACGGTGAGCTGCACCCACACATGGAGAAGGGCCCCCTCTTCTTCCAGAAGCGATGTCGCGAGATCGTCATGGAGCACGGCGCGAAGGAGAAGAAGGCCGGTCAGAAGATCTGGCCTGCTAAGCAGCAACTCGAGCCCACTGGTGCCTCGGCCATCAGCAAAGAGATGGAGGACTTCTGCGAGGGTCTTGCTTGCGGCAACGACAACGAGAAGAGCGACCTTGCTTGGTAAGCAAAGTCTTGACTATCACGATTCACGATGCATGGCCTTGGTGTTTGGGTGTTATGAGTACTTGAGGCTTTGAACTCGTACTTTGGGGTTTGTTGTTTGACAGCATTCTTTGTAATGTCTCTTAGCGATGATTTTCATAGCGCATTTATTCCCTCCCTTTCTCTATACAGAATCCATCTTTATGCCTTTGCAACACACCGTCTTTGGCTCTTTTTGGTGACACGCATTTGCGGGTATGGCTTTGACCCTGTCTGCCTCTTCCTTTAGCATGACGTATCAGTATCTCTATCCATCCTCTTCCCCACATGAACGCACTCGCGCGTCGCATACCAGATCTGCATCGCCGTTAACGGACGTTTGATATCGCACGGTGTTTCGGTCCTATTTGGGAAAGATTGTGCGTCGACCAATCGGATGCATTGGTGCTACATGAGATAGCCGCTTGGGCTGCGAACAATGCGATAACAATGATGGTTCAGATGAGATGATGATGGCGCATGAGGAAGTTGAGTGATTAGTATGGTGACGGTTCTTTGACTAAAGATGAAGGCACCGATATTCTATGACGAGAGCTCCATTTCACGGGACGGAGTCAACCACTACGATGCACCCATCTCTGTGGAGCTCTTCCCGGCGTCACACAATTACATGTGGTCATTATGGAGAAATGATGAGATATCACCATCGTCTTGGTCGTATTACGCTAAATGCCATGTGTGCGATCGCAAGCATGGCGAAAGTCACGTTATGCGATGACGTAATCAGTGAGCAAAACACACCCTGATGGCGCGGGGGCGTGCTTGACGTGGCTTGCATGTATGTAGAGCCTTATCACGACGAAGACTTGACATCTCAGCGAAGCACCACGATCGAAGTATCCGCATCAGCCAAGTCTGGTACCATGTCCGGAGCGAAGCACATCGTTTTCGATATAGTTGGCACGCTTGTGTCGCACGAGCATTTCTATGCCGTCATTGACGAACGCCTGGGCCCCAAACTTCAGGCCAACAACATCTCCGCACGTCTCCTTGGTTTCGCTTGGTTAGAAAGTGCGGAGCGTGAGTACACCTACCTCTCGATTTCGGGCTCCTACGTACCTTTCGCGAAGGTCTTCGAATCCATCTTCTTCCGCATCCTGCATTTTGCTGGCGTAGCAGAGCCGCGCAGCGTAGCGACCGAGGAAGATGTAAAGTATTTCATACAAAAGTATAGGAAGTGTGAAGTCCGACCGGGCGCAAAGGAATGTGTGGACATAATGAAGAAGGCTGGCTGGACAGTCTGGGCGTTCACTAGTGGAGATCGTCCAAGAGTTATGGGCTACTTCGAAAGAGGCAACATTGACATCAACAACGAGCATATTGTGACGTGTGACGACGTTGGTGCGGGAAGACCGGATCTCAAGGCGTATGAGAAGCTGAAAGAAAAGATTGGTGTTGACAGCAAAGCTGGTGATCTTTGGTTTGCGGCTGCACACGGTTGGGATGTAAGCGCAGCGGGCAGGGCAGGGTTCAAGACAGCGTATTGCCTTGTGTTGGAAAAGGAGGCATTAGACGATGTGTTTGGCAAGATGGACGTTGTTGCTGCAACTTTGCCCGAACTTGCAGAAAAGGTGACTTCACAGTAAGAAGTAATGATAGCCGACGATATGTTGCATTTGTGTATGAATCTCTCAATTAACACGATGGAGCTGTCTAGTGCGGCTTCTGCGCGCGCGACCTACCGGCCACGCTTGATGTCGTCGGCAATCTTCTCTGCCAACGCGTATATCGTACTCTGGTGGAAAGTCAGTGATGCACGAATGAGGTGGAATAAGATGACATACCTGTGGGTGCCCGGGAGGCAATAGTGCGAATGAACTAGCATCGACAACCCTCAAACCGGTCACACCAATAACCTTCGCCTTGCTATCCACGACTGCATCTGGATCGTCAATCTTTCCCATCTTGCACGTGCAAGAAGCGTGCCACACAGTCATCAACTGCTATCGTTAGTACCTGCAGGTTCGGTAGACTTGGCAGACTTACAGTGTCGCGAACGGTGTTGAGGATTTGCTCATCGGTCTCCACCTTAGGTCCAGGGAAGTATTCTTTCGTATCCGCAAGACCAGCCTTCATGGCGTCTGTAGCAAAGGCTTGACGCATGCGCTTGTAGGCTGCAACTGCGAGGGCTTGATCAGTGGGGTCAGTCAACCAGCCCGGGTCGATCGAAGGGAGCTGAGCTGTGCTAGAGCTTGTGATAGTCACTGAACCACGGGAGAGGGGCGCAACAAGAGCGCCGAGAATGGACGCGTATTGGTAGCCGTCCTTGGGCTGACTTGCGAAGAGATTGGAGAAATCACCAATATAGCCGGGTGCAGAGAGGTATTCGATCTCGGGCCAGGAAGCAGGGAACTGGTCCAGTGCTGCGGCAGCTTCTGAAGAGACAAGGTTTCGAGGAGCCTTTTCCCAGGCTAGGAAGTCGCAGACGGGGTTGGTGAGGGGACCCTTCTTGAGCAGGCCATAATCGAATGCAAATTGAGCGCCGACATAAAGAAGATCATTGGCGAGTTTCGTGAGCGTCTGGACTTTATAGCGGTAGGTTGGACCGAAGAAAATGTGATCTTGCATATTCTGACCAACACCCCGGCGGTCAGCAAGGACGGGAATGTTGAACTTCTTGAGCTGTGCAGCAGGCCCAACTCCAGAGACCATAAGCAGCTGAGGAGACTGGAAAGCACCGGCCGAAAGGATCACTTCACGCTTTGCGGTAAGGACGATTCCAAGGGGTAACTGGACACCAGTGGCACGCTTCTCGCTATTGAAGATGATCTTCTCGGCGCGAGTCAGTGTGTACACTTTGAGGTTAGGACGACTCTTCGCAGCCTCGAGAAAGGTTGTTTGGCTCGACGCGCGCTTCTGGGTGCCGGGCGTGATCGTCGAGCTACAGTACTGAGCTCCCATGAGTTCTCCAGAGTTGAAGTCAGGCCTAGTCTGGATTCCAATGCCGTTCATACCTCCTTCCATGTAGCTTGAGAAAGGTCCAGCGTAGTTCGCATAGGAGACATCCAGAGGCCCGCCGCTGGCATCGAAGGCACTCGCGACGTATTCGGCCGAGCCATTGCTTGCACGAAGCTTGGTGTTGGGTGGTGTAAACTTGACGGACTTCTTGAAATACGGCATCAGGTTGTCGAAAGTGTACGAGTCGTCTCCGACTTCGTCTGCCCAGCGTTGGTACGAGCCGCGATCGCCCCGCTGGTAGATCATGAAGTTTCGAGCCGAGCTTCCACCCAGGCACTTTCCTCGCGCGTACTTGATTCGTCTACCATTCGCGCCGGCTTGAGGGGCGGTAATGAAGTTCCAGTCCACGAGAAGGTTCTGATCTAATGGGCTGGAGCCCGACCACAGAACATCTCCAGCTGGAGTCGACGACAAAAGCGGATTCGCGATCTGATAGAGAGCACCGGCCTCAATGACAGCGACCTTCATGGTGCTGTCTTCAGACAACCGATTCGCAAGTGTAAGGCCCGCGGTACCACCCTTTACTACGTGTTAGCGCAACCAATTCTTTACAGGCTGGCGCAAGCTGGAATAGCCACAACTTACACCGATAATAACATAATCGAATTCAGCATTCTGTCTCTTCTCGCGGTCTGCAACTGGTACAGCAGAGACCAGAGAAATTAACAAAGTAACGAGTGAAAATGAAGTGCGCATGATGACGGGGGCTGGAAGATCAAGAAGACGCAGTGTCCTGATGATACCATATTAAACCTGGCGATCATCTTTACTATATACGCGCTTTCGCTCCTTCCAAGTCCTGGGCAATGCTAGTGAGGTCCGAATGTAGGACTGAACCACAAACTATGACTTTTCCGCGATCTTGGAAACCACGTTAAGTTGGAGCAGTCGCAAACTACAACACCCCCAGACCTGGTCTGGAGAGCATGGCACGATAAAAGGCTGAGCTCAATTAGGTCTAGAGTAAGGGTACCTAGCTACTTTGAACGGAAGATCACCCGACAAGCTTTTTAACCCAGGCTGCTCGCTCGGCTGCGTCTGCCTACGAAACATTGGCTTCTATTATACGGACACTCAGCGAGCGTGAGATGCTTTTCAGGTGGTCGAAGCTCGAAGCCACAAATTATACTTTATTTGGAGGCTTCAGATGTCCCGAAGAGCCGAGGCCAAATTGGCAAGCTTCCCTATGATTACTTGGGTGTGAGTGCGTATCGAGCCCCTATCCCTGGAGACAGCCGTTTGGAGCCGAATTTAAGTACCGCCTGCGTGCGCTATAGAATCCGTGCCGTCTTTTGGTCTCTGGGCCTGAGCGCTAATGGACGTTTGAGCTGGAACTTTAGCCGAGTTTTTGTTTTAAGTATTGGAGGCTTGATGACGATGTACGCATCTGTACCTTGTGATCTCATGAACGCTGACTTGACAGAGCGATGCGATGCTTCCTTGAGCATAGGCTTTTGCGAACATTCTACTCCGATACAAAATGTCGTGGTCGACCATGACGAGATCTTTCCGAAGAAGTGCACGCACGGAACATCAAAACCGGGCCAACAACGTTGTATGCCTGTAGAGCCTTTTCCCCGAATTTCATCTTGTGCTGAGGAGCGGGCTGTTGTTCTGCCCTCTCCCCAATGCTTCGCGCGTCGCGTTACCAGAATACTTTTGAGATCTAGACAACACCAAGCCCCGGGGCCGCTTGGAAAACGGGTTGCGCGAAAGACCTACTAGTACGACGTCTGTGCGCACCATCATCATGGAACACCCCCACTAGCGATTAGGAAACCAGTTTGGATAGCTGCGTAGGACAGCTGGAGGATTCACAATCCCTCCCATTAAATTCGGTACTACCACACACCCTCAGCCTCTTGCTGCCAACTCCCATCGTTGGAATACGGATATGCGCAAACTTTCATCCATCACAGGCCCAACTTGAGGCACGTTCAAGATGCATGCTCAACAGCACCCTTCACCCGATACTCAGGCACTATTGCGCGGGGTGAATCGTAGCTGAAGAGCCGGAAGCGTTACGGTGAATGTGTCCATTATCTCCTTCTCAAATGCCTCTCCATTCTCTCCAGGCGCGAAGGAGACGTCGAAATTCTGCGCGATCATCGAAAGCGAGATACGTAAGCTCATTTGGGCCAGGTTCTTGCCGGGGCAGCTGTATGCGCCTACGGGAATGTTAGCTGCTGACTGCGAGTCTAGAACGACGACCGTATGAAGGACTTACCCAGAGAGAAAGGCAGGTATGGAGCCTGATCAGTCTCCATCTCTAGCCTCTTTTCACCAAAGCGCTCTGGGACGAAGTCTTCAGCCTGCTGCCACCATCGAGGGTCTCTTTGGATGAGCGAGACTGGAATCACGACGTTCGTGTTGCCGGGAATGTACGTGTCGTCGATTTGGATGCCCTTTGCTGGTGTTTCGCGCGCTCCACCGGTCAAGAGGGCGGGACGAAGTCGCAGTGTCTCGCTGAGGAAATCATCCAGATAAGAGATCGACTTGACCTTTTCGTACGACCACTGGCTGTATCCGCCCGGCATTGCTTGGTCGAGGAATTGCTGGAGCCTTTTCTGCTTGTCGGGGCATTTGGCGAGGTAGTAAAGGGCTCCTGCGAGCGTGGTGGCTGTAGTTTCACTACATCCCGTCAGTAGTGTCTTTGGGTTGCTACATCAGAATTGCCTACCTTCCGGCAATGATCATCACTCTCGAATCGTCCTCCAAGGCTTCTGGGCTTGGCGAGGCGGAGACGTCGTTCTCTTTGACAGCCTTGAGTAACCAGGATACGACGTCTTGCGGATACTTCTCGCCGTCCCAGGTCTATATTTCGTTAATTATCTGTCACCGGTAGTACGATCACAACACATACCTTGTGCTTTTCGCGAATCTGGCCTGCGCAGAAGGAGAAGAAGTCCGAATAGCCCGCCGCCGCTCCAGGAATAGAGCCCAGAACGTTCAAGAGCCACGGAACCGTGCTCATAATTCCCAGCATGGTCATGTGGGCATGCACTCCCTTGATAGCAGGGTGCTCGACACCGCTCGTAAGATTGTTAAAGTCTTTGCCGAAGCCGACCTCACCCATGACGTCGAAGCTGAAGAACATTGACCAGGTGGACACATCCATTGACGTTGCTCCTTTGGTTGCCAGTTGGGACTTGAACAAGTCTGCCTTTGCCTTGATGCGTGGTTCGTAGGTGTTGAGCGCTTTGTAAAGTTAGAGGTACTCGTGTAGCTCGTGAGCCTATACACACCTTTGATGGAAAACCCGCGATCCCATGCACGGCGACGAAGGCGGTGGCCGTTGAAGTCACGCGTCATGTGGATGGAACATTTCTTTGGGTCGTTCCCGGTTTGGCCGTACCATGTTGACTTCAAACATTCCGAGTTGGGCCCATAAAGAATCGGAACAGCTGACTTGCGTAGAACACTGATCTCTCGGGGACCTTTGAAGACTATTAACATCTGCTCGTGCAAAGCCTCAGTTGGGTGTTCGCTCACCTGTGCGCACGAAGTCACCGTACTGGTCGTGCATCTTTTCCAGCTCTCTGAAGTATTTGACATCCTTCGCCGCGAGACTTGCAGCGTGGAACTTGGAGACTTTTGCTGCGAACGGCCCTGGGAATTTTTGACACCG